ACCATGCCTGAGGCCCACAGAGACACAGAGAAGCCCGCGGGACCAGATCTGCTTTCCTCCAGACACACGGCAGGGGAGTGCCATTCTGGAAGTGCGCTCAGAGAGAGCGCACGCCCATACAGTGGGGAGGAAGGGCTACATCGGACATGACACGGGCCATGTGTGGGACATTCTGGAAAAGAATATGGCTTTATTTCCTTGTGCCATGGAAACTTGAGTGTGGATGGATTCAAAGGTGAAGAACGAATGCATTTGGTGGAAGAAATTTCAAGACAGGAGAGCACTCTGGCTGTGGCATGACTTCAGCGCACTCCTTTTCCTGGTTGGTTTTATTGTCGACATGATACAACCAGTAATCAAAGAGGGTGAGTGAGTCTCAATTGAGGGATTTTCCAGATCACATTGGACCGTGCCCATGTCTGTGGAGAATTGCCTTGATTGCTGATTGATGTGAGAATGCCCAACCCACTACAGCTGGTGCCACTCCAGAGGCAGATGGACTTCAACTATATAAGAAAGCAGATTGAGAAAGAGCCAAAGGGAACAAACCAGTAAGCAGGGTTCCACTGTGGTACCTTCCTCAAGGTTCCTGACATGACTTCCCTCAATGATAGACTGTGACATGGAAGCATAAGATGAAATAAACGCTATTCTCCCTAAGTTGCATTAAGCCATGGTGTTTATCACAGCAAGGAAAACAAACTAGGACATTACTAGTGTTAAGCTTTATAGTGAGAAAGAACAGAAGAAAAATATGAAAAACATGTACTTTGACAAGGAATGGAAGGTTACAAAGGGGAATGAAATTAGGGAGAGGCCTTAACCTCTAAACTGAGAAAAGGGAAAGGTGCCCTGAAAGCAAAATGGAAAACATTGGAGGCTCCGGGGTTTGCAAAGCAGATTCCTTCTTAACGGGGGCTGGCAATGCCACTGCACTGGATCCCCTGCTCCCAAATGGCCATGATAAGAAGGTGTTTTCCAGGGTCAGGCTGGAAGGCATGCAGAGCCTCTAATGAAGAGAAACTAGAAAATTTCCTGGGTCAAAACAGACACTCAAAACTTTTTTCAGGGTCATGAATAAATACAATGTCCTAAAAGATATTATTTGTAGTGTGAGCGAAAGGGTACATAGCCTTCAAAATAAAAGAACAAGTACAGATTCCCATAGTGTAGAGGAAGGTGTTGGATAAAAGTACAGAAACTATAAATTGCATGATCAAAAGTCATATATTTGTTGCTGAAAATAGTAATGTCTTATTAAATAGTAAAATAACTCAAATTACCAAAGCAGTATGTTTATTGCTTTGTTACATTTTAATTGTTTTGTGTAATTCATCTAACCAGCCCCCACAACAATATCCTTAGCTTATTTTTAACCAATTACTCATAAAGATTTCAAAAATCTTTAACAATGTTATCCTGTAAGTTTTTCAGGCATTGTTGCTAGATCCATTCTAGGATCTCATGGTAGAACTTCTTTGAATAGTCTTCATAGATGACAGGAACATATGTTCAAATTCCAAGATGCAAAATACAGTCTCAATTTCAAAGATAAACACTGGTTTCTAGTTTCACAAAAGAGTCAATTATTTTAGTAAACACAAAAATTTTCTTGTTTTCCCTCAGAAATGCATGATTTGGACACACGGAATTACTCCACCTGTGGAGTTCGTGCCAGCGGCCACCCCTGGGAGCCTGGATATCACTTGAGACCTCTTGAGTCAGAATAAATAGCTGAGTGTGGAACCAAGCCTTTACCATCTCTCTAGTGATTCTCAGGACTGTTAAGGACTGAAAACTCCTGAGATGGGGACAAGGAAACCCCAAGCTCACCAAGTTTCTTAACAGCTGTGTGAAAAAGTCAGTGACTCTGCATCCCAATAGACCGAGGGTCAGAGAAAATGAGGTAACTTTTTATATAAGTTTCTGGCTTCTGTTGTGAAAGGCACCCACTCCTCCAAAAAAATGTGAAACAAACTTGATCTCAAGGGGAATAACATGGTTTTAAGTCTGTGATTGGTGAGAATGAAAAATGTTAGAAGTTGCTGATTAGCTCAGAGAGCTGCCGGCCAGCAAGACAGCCTAGAGTCAGCCTTTCTACTGTAGACAAGGGGAGAGGGAGATTCATGGAAATTCTGAGAGAAGCTGACAGACCTAGAGCTTGGAAAAGCAATGCTATAATTCTAACAAGGTAGGACGTGCACCTTGATGAAAAATGATCAGATTTACAAATTCCATGTATTTAATTTGTACAAATATGTTACAAGGGAAATTTTAAGAAAATGAATATGTGGGAAAATTTAACATTTCCCATATCTGTACATGTTCTTCGGCTTTGAAACACTTCAGATGTTCACTTGTAAGAGAGGCTAACATCGATGTGGGAACTGTTCAGCATAATGGTGACCTTTGCCTTTGTGTCTTCTGTAATGTTTACAGATGTTTGGACGTAGGGAACTGTTATGAGTAACCAAGCAAGTGAATAGAATTCAAATGTCAGTTTTCTTAGTGAAGATTCTGAGTCTTAACTTTTTCCTATTAAAATAAAGATTAAACTATTTAAGTACCAAAGGATGGAACTGCCTGTGTGAATTTAGTGAGAGCTAAATTCTGTTTCATAAAAATAAATGAACAAAATTATTCATGTTTTTATTAGTCTATTAACAACTGCTTGTTTCATTGGGCAAATATCATTATAAAATAGTAAATCAGCTAAAATTATTACTGTAAATAATAATTCTGCTTATCAGTCTTTCAATTTGGAGGAAAAAATAAGACATAAAACAATACTCAGAAGCAAAGAATCTGCTGGGAACACAACCAAGATCTCTCATTCTCTGCTTTCTATCACAGGGTGTGAGGTTTTGAAGGAATATATAAATTTGAGCATATTCCAGAAGATTAAAGATACGATTCAAGCACACTGAGAGAAATAAGAGGCTTTCAAATGTGCATGCCAAAAAAAAAATTCTCAAAATATTCACTTAATATGCTTTTCTCAGTTGGACAAAGAGTTTGCTGCCCAGGCTGGTTTGAAATTACTGCTGCCACACTCTCTACAGCACTAGTATTCTAGTTTTCTGCCACAGTGTTCAGCCCTAAAAACCGGTTATCTCATAATAAAAACCCAACAACCTGTGAGGTGATGGATGTAGAAATGGAATGCTCAGACATCAAGTTCATTCTTTGCAGAAGATATGTACTTGCTGCAGGGTGAATATATGCTGTTTCAGGAGAGCTTGGCCAGTAGGAAAATCATGCTGAGATTGATTCAGGGCAGAGCAGAATTCATCTCAGTGGTTAGGATTCCCACAGAAACTAGAACTGGAAAGGTAATGTACTCAATATGACAACAAATCTGGGGACCGTTTACATCGTTTAGAATGAAACCCCCAAACATTGACATAATTTTCAAATTATTGTCAACAACACACAGGATATAAAATATTCAGGAAGGTCAGAGAATTGTCACTAATGACTCTTCACCTCTCACATAACCACGTGCACACTGATGGATGCTTGATTACTTCCAGTTCCCAAAAATCAAACCCTGAGTTGTTAACTGACTTTCCCTTCTTAGAGACTTCTTCTACATTAGATTTGTGCAGAGCATGGGAACACTGTCCTCACACTAAAACCTCTCCCCAGCGCTCTATTTCTCTGTCTGCCAGTCTCTTTCTGGGAGTAAGGCATCAGTGATTATCTTAAGGCTTCAATTCCAAAGTAAATGGAGCCCTCTTAAAAAGACATGAAGATTCAGAGACGCATCATAGCATCAAATTAGACACAATATTTGAGAGTAACATGTATGTTCTTTGCAACAGTACTTGTTCTTGCTTATAATCAAATGTTCCTTTAAAATATTGATAGTCTTAGAGATTCAGCCGAGTTGTAGAACTGAGATCAGTCCCCAGCACTAACTAAAAGAATCCTTACAGCTACAGTGAGGAAGGAATTGTGAATCATCCATGTACAACAGATGCTCCAAGCTCCCTACAATATTCCCCTCAAAGGTCATTCCAGCTTTGAAAATCAAACAAGGCTCTAAATGCAAAACACCATATGTCCAGAAACTTTCCGTCAAAATTCCATAACTGCATTTCTGTTCAAGACTTTAACAAAGTAATGAGATTGAACAAAACAATGTTGTTATTGTTATTGTTTTGCCCTGTTGAAAAGAAATAGTGACTTTTATAGAGCAAAATGATTTCTCCATGGCAATACCAGTGAAATGGCTGCACAGTCACCCTGAGCTGTGGAGTGCCTAACACAAACTTTCAGATTCAGATAGAAGAAATATTTTCAATATTCAGATCCCCACCACTGGGATAATGGGTTGATTGCTGGAGTCTGGTCAACCTACCTGGTGTCACACCAGTAAGGAAAATTGACACTCCCTGTCCTAGCATCGATCAACTGTCAATAAATCCACAGCTAGGTCTGTAGCTTTCCAACATCTTCTCCATCAATTCTAGGCCCTTGTCTACCTTTGGTTTGCTTGGGTCTCCTTCATTCTGCTGTAAGTTGTGAAGGTTCAAATGTGCAACTACCCTGTGATGTCCAGACAACGTAACACCCTTGTGTTAATCCACCATCTCTTGCTCATACAAATATTCTAACCCTCTTCAACAACGATTCCTGAGTCTTGGAATGAGAGTGTGCCATATATGTGTCCCATTGAGGGCTGAGCACCCACACTTTCTTATTCTCTGCACACTGACCGGTTGTGGGTGACTCTGTTAATTGTCATCAGTTGCAAGGGCATTTAAGAAACAAAGTTTAGATTCCATATCCTTAAAAATGAAATATAAAACTGTAATACTAGAATATATGAAGACTTAGGGTGGCTAAATAAGGTTGGGTAGAGAGTGGGGACCAAAGTGCATTGCATGAAATTCTCAAGTTAAAAATATTTTCAAATATACTATTGGAGTGAACAGGGATGGATAAGCACAAACTTCTTTGTTTTTATAGCTGTTTGCACTATTTCTCTTCTCAAAATGATGACAACCAATGTAAGCACAGTGAGTGGCTTCCTTCTCCTGGGGTTTTCTGACAACCAGGAGCTGCAGATCCTACAAGCTTTTCTCTTTTTGATGATGTACCTGTTGGGCTTGGCAGGTAATTTCAGCATTGTCACCATTACAACACAGGACCCCAAGCTCAAATCTCCAATGTATTACTTCCTGAAGCACCTTTCCCTTCTTGACCTCTCCTCCCTGTCTGTCACTGTCCCTCAGTCTATCCACAATTCCCTGACTGGCAGTGGGTACATTTCCTATGCTCAGTGTGTGCTGCAGGTTTTCTTCTTCACATCCTTGGCCTGGAGTGAGGTGGCCATTCTCACAGTGATGTCCTATGACCGCTATGTGGCCATCTGCCTCCCATTGCACTATGAAATCATCATAAATTCCAGAACGTGCAGATGGGCTGTGTCATTTGTGTGGATAAGTGGAGGTATCCCAGGAACCTTGTACACAGCCACCACATTCTCCATCAGATTCTGCAGGGCCAAAATAATCCACCAGTTCTTCTGTGACGTCCCCCAGTTGCTTAAGCTCTCATGCTCCAATGATTACCTTGGTGTGGTTGGAGCAGATGCTTTCATGGCTGTTGTTGGAGCTGTCTGTTTCACTGCCATTTTCTTCTCCTATGTTCAGATATTCTCCACAGTCCTCAGGATGCCCTCTACGGAAGGTCGGTCTAAGGTCTTCTCCACCTGCCTGCCCCACGTCTGTGTGGTCTCATTTTATGTCTTCACTGGTATGTCTGCATTTCTTAAGCCAACTTCAGACTCTCCAACTGCTCTAGACCTCATGCTCTCTATGTTTTACACAGTACTTCCCCCAACACTCAACCCTCTTATCTACAGTCTGAGGAATGAAACCATGAAGGGGGCTCTAAGGAAATTACTGCTAGGCAGACAATTCTTTGGAAAAAGATCCTTTCAATTTTCTTTTGAGTAACTGGCATCATTAAACACAAGGAACATTTTTAATAGTTTGGATGCCTTTAACATTAAATGTTAGGAACAATAAAATGATGTCTTCTAGGCTAGGCGTAGTGGCACACGCTTTTAATCCCAGCACTCAGGAGGCAGAGGCAGGAGGATCTCTATGAGTTCAAGGCCAACCTAGTCTACATGGTGAGTCCCAGGATAGCTGGGGCTACAGGGAGACCCTGTCTCAAAAAGACCAAGAAAAAAAAATATATATTCTAAATTATATTATAAATTTGTTGCATAATAAAATGATATAATTTTTCCAGTGTTATTGGATTCACTTTTTCACTTTCAAGTAAATAGAACATAAATTCTTATCATCTAGTAATACAAACCCAGTTCCACTCCCGCTTCATATATTGGCACATGCATAGATTACCAGTAATCCTCACATGGGTTTTGAAAACAAGTTTATGAGAAATATCATAATAATAATAAAGACAGATTGATAATTTTTTTCTGATAATTTAATTGACCATGTGAGTTATAATTTTAATATAAATCATTACTTTAAAATTCATTTTAATTTCTATTTTTCCATATACACATGGGCATCAGCACAAATATGTATGCCATTTTGTGATTTAATGTTTATAGTTATCTTGGATGCAAAGAATTCAATGCATTTATACATTCAAAAGTCCAATGAATGGACTTGTAAAACCAACATGCAAAATTCTAAACTATTTTGCCAATTTGACTGAACTAGCTCCCAAAGTCCTGAGTATGTGACATGCACAATGAGGGATCAAGTTTCTCCATTACATTTCACAGGATTTATTATTTCATGGAACAAATATTTATCAAGTCTTTTGTTCTCTTGGTGTCTGAAAAGTATAGACACCTTACAGTGTGCAGAGCATTGGAAAATGTGACAATTTATTGAGAGGTGTAATTTTACTTTCCCAAGCCTTTTCAAAGGTATGAGATTTCAAGATGCTCATGACATTTGCACATTTGTGTATTTTCATTTAATTTTATGCTTTGCTTTTGCCTTTTATTTCATAAAAGGCATTATTAGTATGATAATCTCATGTTTCATATTGGCAAAATGGTGTTCTCTGCCCTTTATTTCAATTTTCAGATCAATTTTATATTCTAAGTTTATAACATGTAAATTATGTTTTTACATGGGTAGCAATGATATTAACAATTCTAGGTAAATGACAATCATGAGATTCCAACACCTCAGATACTAGAACTTTCTATCTGAAGGAACACCAATGACATGCTTGACCTCACTTTCTGAACTATTCTACTGGCTTATTATTTTCTATTATTTTTGTCCTATTATTTTAATGAAAGTACTGAATCAGAAAAAATGTTTCAAATGTAGTTTCTATTATTATTTTATTCTTATTGTTTTGGTAAATTATATATTGTTCATTACTATGGAATTTAAGTGGAAGGGTATTCTTCAGTATATAAAATATTTTTTAAAATTTAAGTGTGTGTGTGTGTGTGTGTGTGTGTGTGTGTGTGTGTGTGTGTGTGTGTGTGTGTATACATGTTCATGTGCATAGATGCAGGTGTCCATGTAGAAGTCAGAGGATATATTTCATGTGTTGGTCTTTGCATTTATGCTGATATTTTTTCTTATTTAAGACACTATTTTTGCTACTGCCTACCCTAGGCTATCTGGCCCACAAGAGCCTGAATATTCTCCTGTCCCACTTCCACAACCCATAGGCTGCTGAAATTACAGACACTTGTGCCACCTCCTCTTCAGGATTTTATGTGGGTTCTGGGGATCTGACCTCCAGGTTGTCAGGATTGTGAGGTCAGCACTTTTACCCAGTGTGCCATCCCCACAGTCTGTAAAGTACTTTTCTTATCTTCTCATAGGAATATATTTAGTATCCTTACTCATCTTAATAAACGTCAGATTTGTCTTCATGATTAATTCTCATGATAACAACCTGACTTCTTTTTTTTTTCCATATAGGAGTCCTGTCCAAGGACCCACACCCCACAGGTTCTTACTCTCTAAGCTTTGGCCATTTGTGTCCTTCTATGTTTGTGGCCCTATGTTGCATTAGGGAGCTTTGCTGATGAGAGATGTGGTATAAAGGTTCCATTGTAGATGTTTCACTTAGGACTCGGCAATTACTGCTGAGTGTGGAAGAGCCGATTTTCTTTAAGGGGGTGGGGGGAGACTCTAGGTAGGCAACTTAGATTTCAGTGGATGAACTTTTACTGAGGGATGTCTGGGGAAAGTAACTTGACTCAATAGGCCTTAACACAAATGGCATAATGCATGAAATCCAGTGGGGCACTATGGGAGGTGCCAATGGTTAAAGGGGTATAAAATGATTAAGACGTGCTATACCAAGTACATGAAAATTCAATAAAAAATTTAAAAATAAAAATAAGTAAATAAATAAATAATAAAAATAAACATGAATGCATTGGAACATGTTTTGTGCTATTATTACATACTACTCATTAGTGTCGATACAGGTTAGGCACTATATTGCATTGTAATATCATACATAATGATTAATAATCTCTTCAGTTATGAAATCATGTAAGAAGATTTTAACATGTGAAGTCTCTTTAATAAATGCATGCTATATTGAACCAACCCATTTCAAATTCTTGCTCTTTATGCTCATTATTCTAAGACTGTCAACATCTCGATTCATGAACATATTACATGTGTATAAATAAACTCTTTCATTCCAAGTTGTACAATGGAGTTGTCTCTTCCATAAATCATTGCATTTCCATGGATGCATATTGATAATCTTCATTAATGCCCCTGAATCAGAGGCTCTGTTATGGAAATATTAAAAATTTAAAATAAGTTTCATTGGGGCTGGAAAAACAGCTCAGCAGTTAAGAATGCTCAAAGCTCTTCCACAAGACAAGAATTCATTTCCTAGAACCCATGTAGGGTGACACAGCTGGCTGTAACTCCTGCTCTGGGGAATCTGGTACCCTCTGGACTCTGCTAGTTCCTACAATCAAGTGCATATACTCATATACAGACACACATATGCACATAATTTTGAAATTCTAACCATAAATCTCAGAAAATAATTATCATCACATAAAGTGTTTTCAGTCACAAAGATAATTTTACTAATCTCAAGTGAAAGAAAATCCTAGTACTAAATAGAGATAATTAACAATATAGAATATGGGATGCTCCCAACCCACTGTAGAAATATGCAATTCACTATTGGTAATTGCCCTCTTCAAACTCAGTTAACACCCAGAGATGCCAATGCCCCACAGAACAGTGCTGTCAGATATGCAGGATTTAACCACAGGTCCTCTGCCCAGAAGTTATCATTGGCAGATTCCACAGATCACTCATTGTCTGCTTTTAGTTTGTTTATTTGTTCTCAGTTTCTCTTCCATGAGCAATTCTTCTGTCCATCCTATTGTCCAAGTCATGATTACTTTGTACTGCTCACCTGGTATCCGGAAAGTCAGTGAAGCCCACTGATCACATCTCCCAGTTTTACTGACATTGTGGTGGTTCACAGAATTGCTGTCTTAAACTGGTGTATTGGATCCTATACATCCTGTCTGCCTTCCGGTCTCATAACCTTTAACCCTAGAAATATCTGGTCTTTATTCACCCATTATCCATTTCTTTATATTTGCTACACTTTTACATAAATTAATCACACTTAATAAGCCTTACTCCAAAACATTTAT